GTTTAAGAAAAGAAGTCTACAGAAGCTCCGGAGCTAGACAGAAAAATCGTAGCTTGCAAAAATCAAGGATTGCTCTGCCTTATCATCAAGCCCTTGCGCATTTAGCCTAGAACAAAGTAGACACAGCTACAAATGGTCGCGGTGCGGCAGTTGTTGCGCTCTATAAGAGCAACGAAACAATTATAGTTGCGACAGATCCTCATGTGTCACGACTCATAGGCATTAGCAGTACGCTGCAAAGCCCGCAACTGGCATCGTTACGTCTGAGGAATCGACTACATGCTTTTAATTAAGTGAACTTGCGGATATGCCAGCACCTGTGAAACATGATACCAAGGTAATAATTGGCAATTGTACTGCTAACTTTGGTTTGTCTTTCTATACAAATAAAAAAAGAGCAAAGGTATTTTTTCAAACAAGTTATTGATATTTAAAGATGTTGTGCTTTGAAAATTACATTGTAGTTTATCCTTGAACGATTCGAATAAAATATTCAATTGACTCAAAAGGCCGAACAATCATCCTCAATTTTAGAATTATAAAACCTGGCTTAATTTGATATATTTGATTATTCAAACACGCAAGCTTTTCTCTGAATTACATTGGCCAGTATTCTGAATTACGGGCCGAAAATACCTGCAAGTCGCAGTGTGCAGATTCAAGTCCTCTCCAAGCGATCTCAACCACACCACCTTTGCATTTTTTGCCCTTTGAGTGTAGAGTTTTTATTTGCTCGCGATAATAGTTATAATAATAAGTAAAAGTAATAATACTCTATAACTCTACAAATTTTAACTATTGCCGTGAGAAAATACAGCAAGTATCACATGAAATGTCCAGCATGGACATAAGCGGGAAATTCGGTCTGGAGAGTTATGACATCAGTCCACAAGTAGTTCGATAACATAAAACATTTTAGACATGTTAATTCAAAAATCTCTAAACACTTTGTGTCCGATCAGCATAGGTAAAATTTGTCGATGTATAGTCGGTTCCCAGGCGTATTCTAGGCGGAGTCAAGCACGCATTGCGGCCATGGTGAAGCGACGCGGCGTGTTGACGCCGGAGCATGATCGATGTCTGATATCAGCTGATCATCGATCATGCTCCAGCGTCGACCCGCCGCGTCGCTCCACCTTGGCCGCAATGCGTGCTTGACTCCGCCTAGAATACGCCTGGGAACCGACTATAGCTCTTATCGTTTGTATTTGGTTAATAATTTCATCCAATATGGAAGCATACGGCGGCCAGCTAAAAGTTCGTCCACATGCGATTGACCTGCGGGCTGTCGGCAGTAGCACTGATCCGCAGGCCTACTAATCGCTGCACTCCACAGGTTGACCCAATCAATTTGAAGAGACGTGGCAAAGGCAGCAACTAGTGCACATTACATGTTCGCATTTGCACGGAAAAAACATCATTTGCGGTTTAACCCGTAGCAGACTCTAAGTGGATGAGCGTAGCAGCTCCATTTCGAACGGTAGGTTCCACTGTCATTAGCAAACTGACGCCTATTCTATACCTGCCTCCTCCCTTCCAAAAAAAAAGAATTTGACAATTGCGTATTTCTTTACTTCCTGAATGCATATTAAATTGTCATGTTCAGTCTCAATCAATCCATTCTCACGCTTCAACACTGGATTTATGAAGATTTTATTTAGAATATTTCCAGCTTCTCATCGCTTGAGTAAGTGCTGCAATCACGGCGCTAACGTTTTTTCAAAACTTTCGCAAAGATGGGCGCATATATACTGTGGAGCGTTGTTTTGGTAATGGGTCAGCTTTAGCGGTCCAAATATACACATTCTGGCGTGAGCAAGTGCAAATGAGTATGCGTTTCGATCCTTTAGTTTTGTATGGCCCTCCATAGCTTCGACGCTGTACTTCCTTAAACTATAATCTGTGAAGAATGGATTCAAAATTCACATTAGAAAACATTAAGGCCGAAATCGGGGAATTTGTCGTGCGGAATCGGATGAGAGGTGAGTCATGCATACAGTTCGCTAGTAATTTGCTGAGCTGGACATGCGAGACTGCGGCCAGCGTGACCCTCTTTATTTGTTGAGTCACCAGCCCACGTTGCCCGGTGCATTCTGCCTTCACGGCTGCTCTCCTACTTTTTTTAGCGGATTTCGTTTCTTTTGTCGCGCTACGATTATCGACGTTCTTGTTACCCACCTTTGTTTTACACTGAGAAAAACATCCCACTGAACTTGCCCTTTAAAGTATTTAGCAATTTTGGGTTTAGTTTAACAAATCATTGTGATAATGAAAAATAATACCAATAATCACGCATAATGCATTATAATTTATTGCGAATCAAAAAAGTTATTTTCATCGCATCGACGTACTACAGTTTCGATAAAAATTATAAAACCACTATTGATTTTATCTTTAGAACATTTACATTGATTTCTCAAAATCAGCAAAATAATGTTATGGTGAGAGTGAGAGTTCTAATTGTAGCGAATTCAGAACGCTTCATATCTGTCTAAGAAAGACTATATTGTAGTATTCTTTCAGAATTTCCTGTCCATACCTCTCTGCATGCATTTCTGTATTGTGATCGCACATATCGAGTAAAGCAATCTATTTCTAGAATGAGTGGTGGAGAAGAGTACAGCCGACGTCGTATATTTGCTTCATTACCTCAAACTAAACGGGGATTTCCCACGGTTATCACATCTAGCCCAAATGGTCAGAAAATCATCTATTGCAATGGAAACTCAGTTTTCATTGTCGACGTCGAGGTTAGTTTGTCAGTTGTTTTCTTTTTCAATATTTTAAGTATTAAACGCTATCCTTTTCGAATATATGAATGTATAAGTGTTTGAATCTTCAAATACCCTTTTCTTGTTGTTTCCAGAACAATACAGATGTGGACATCTATACTGAACATTCATTGAACACAACCGTAGCAAAAATGAGCCCTTCTGGGTATGTTTTTTGTAGATTATGCTGTAGCGTAAATTTATGTTTCTTTCAAGTTGTGTTTAGATTCTACATCGCTTCCGGCGATACCGGAGGAAACGTTAGGATTTGGGATACAACGCAGATTACGCACATTTTGAAAGCAACCTATCAGGTTTGCTCTTATCTCTCACTTCTTGAAATTCAAATCATGTAATCAATGTGCTCTGCATGTGATGTGTTTCAGGTGTTTTCCGGTAGTGTACGAGATATCGCTTGGAGCGATGATAGTAAACGTCTTGCTGCTGTAGGAGAAGGACGAGAAAGGTATGTTTTTGTAACAGACCTTCACAGTTTCCTTTTTGCATTTCTAAATCCATGTAGAATTCTAAAGATCCGTATAGTAACCACTATGCCCTGCGCCATCAACTCTACAAATCTGACATGAATCCAGTTTGCAAAAATATAATGATGAATGCATTTCCTTTCTTTCTCCATGCTACCTGGATTGTTCGTATTTTCACGTATTTAAAAACGATCTGCTTGCAGCGCTGCGTAGTTACATTTTATGAGGTTAAATTGTAGTTAAGTGTAGAGTAGATCTTACATATGCCGAAATTATTTCAAAGTAGGATGTCTTTTTTTCTGTCGTCAAAGTTTCAACACAGGCGTAGAGTCTAGCTACATGTGCTTTCCTTCCAATCATCATGTCACTGTGCAGATTCGGTCATGTGTTTTTGTTCGACACTGGCACCTCTAATGGGAACTTATCTGGGCAATCTCGCCCAATGAGCAGTATCGACTTCCGCCCAGCGGTCAGTTTCTTTTTCACATTTTGGGGATATTTTGAAATCAGATCTTCTTCAGAGACCTTACCGACTTATCAGCGGCTCCGAAGACAATACCGTGGCGATTTTCGAAGGTCCTCCATTTAAGTTCAAAACGGTATGTTTTTTCTCCGAAATCATTATTCTATCGCTGCTGAACGCGAAATCTGGTGGTCATCAAACGATAGGTTGTAGAAGTTTTTTTTTTTTAACATCTTTACCCCTGATTTGTTTCTTATATCAGGTGATTAAAAATTTGCTGAGACGAATAGTTGATTGCGAGACCGAGACCATTTTCCGTGTTAAAAGAGCGCTTTTTTTTTGGTAGAAGGAGCTGCAAATTCTACCTGCCTGATTTTGAGATTTATAAGAACATCATGCTGTCGTTGTACTCTACATACTTAGACCTTCCACGAACATTCTCGCTTTGTTCACGTAACAAAATACAGCCCCGATGGTTCTCTTTTTGCCAGCGCCAGCGCTGACGGAAAGGTACGTTTCTGGCTTTGGTAATAATTGCAATGGCTCAGTTTTGCGCAACTTTCTAGGTGGTGCTCTTTGAAGGCACAGATGGTACAAAGGTCGGCGAACTTGTGGATCCCTCAATTAAGGTTTCATTTTATTTGATCATTACCTGGTCTCTATATTTGTAATTGTATTTCAAGACCGAGGCAGCACACTCCGGAAGCGTATTTGGATTAGCATGGTCGCCTAATGGCAAGCAAATCGCCACCGCGTCGGCCGACAAGACAGTAAAAATTTGGGACGCGCATGGGAAAGCTTTGGAAAGGTTAGTATGGTATCGTCTTGTTTCTTCATTTTTAAATCAAAAGAAGTTTTTTATATTGAAAAATTGGTAACAATTCAGCACTATAAACTTTGGTGATGCTATTGAAGACCAACAAGTGGGTATCACCTGGAGTCCTAAAGCTCTCGTTTCCGTGTCGCTGTCTGGTTTTCTGAACTTCATCGATCCAGCTGGTAAGATCATCAAGGTCAGTGTTAACCATTGTTTTCCTCTTCTCTGCTTCTACAACTTTGGTAAAAGGAAAGGGCGGTATTATTGTTTGTTTTCATTTACTTTTCTTTGTGAACTCTTTTTGTATTTGCTTTAGTTTAATCTTTCTTTGGCGGAAAGCCTTTTTTTTTAAGTATATGCACGAGTTCTTCTCAGAGTTTTTTGGTAATAATCTTCGATTTTCTAATGTAATGAACGCAGATCCACCTTTAATTTTATTCAAAATAAATACTTCTTTGCTGCTGTGTTTACACAGTTCATGCGCTAAAGTCAATTTTCTAAAGTTGTGATGCAGATGTGTGATCTAGCTCCATAGTGCGCTAAGCTATATTTTCGCAATGCTACTGAACCCACCGCCTATGTG